ACTCGGCTGCATCACAGTTGGACACCGGTTACATCTGGACTCGGTTATCTCCGACATTGGTGACCTTTGGTCCTCGACATTTTGATCTTGTTATATGACATTCTGGACTACCATTTCGGAGACCTACCAGACTCTATCTTGTGACCTATCGGTGTGATCTGCCTCCTACCTCCTTCGTCTCTCCTCCCACCTTTCATCTGTGTATGTGTGTACGGGATCTGGGTATCGTCTACGAATGACCCAGACCCCACCATCTCATGATTGTATGTGTGTGGAGTGATGCCATGTAGGTCAGTCTATGTGAGTCAGTCTATGTGAGTCAGTTCGTTATCAGACTTCCGCTGCATAAATGCTCATCCTATATTGGTTGATCTTTGGTTCTGCCCATACTCATTGAAGTATGTAACACCTACCTTCTCTCTCTCCTCTTCTCGGTACTACGGACGTCAATCTCCGGCCACGTCAGCATTGTGCCACATCAGCAGTGGGCCACGAACGCAGATTGCCACATCAGCCGCGTGCCACCTCAGTGTGCCACGAAAGCCGAGTGCCCAGTCAGCTGCGGCCACCTCAGCAGTGCCACATCGGCAGGTGCCACCTCAGCAGTGACACGTCAGCAGCAGACGAAGACCAGAGTACTTAATGTGCCGCAGTCAACGACTTGCGGAGCACGGACCCACCGGAACCAAGCCCCAACTGGGACCTAGGACCCCTCGGATCCCGCGCAAGCGACGCACGACCATGGCTGCGACCGCTGACGCCAATGCACAAGCCAGCCCCAAGAGGCCGGTTACCCCTCCGATCCCAGTTCAGCAGGCCGATGAACCACTTCTAGCGTTTATCAAACGTCTCCAGTTCTACTCGGAGACCACGGCAGCTGAACTGAGCAAGTGGGAAGAGGAGGAAGCCGCCCGCCAGCAGGAAATTCAACGCCAGCTGGCAGAGGCAGAGGCAGCACGTCAGCAGGCCGCAGCAGAAGCTGCAGCAGACGCACGGTTGCAACAGCAGCAGGTCGAGGCAAGTCAAAACCAAGTTCGTTACCCCGCTACAATGGAGCTCGCCAACGAAGAAGCCACGTACCGGAGGTTACTCCAACAACAGCATTTTCGAGCAAACGAGGAACAAGAGGAGCCGACCGAGGACGAGAGAAACAAGGAGGCCACAACAGTTTTGATGGAGAATCTGCTGTACATGTGCAATTGGCAGCAACGTGAACTGCTGGCCATGCAGCAGGTCTTCATCCGCCACAAAACGATGTTTAAAGCAATGGACAAGAAGATCGCTACCCTGCAGGCCGAGATCAGCACACTACAGGCCGCCAACAGCCAGCAGCAGACAATCAACGACCAGCTGCAGTCCGATGTCAGCATGGGGTTGGCACGACTATCGGCAGTTGCGTCGACGGGCAGCGCAGTGGCAGACTGCAGCCCAGCCTTGGCCGCACAAGCCAAGCAACTTGAGGAGCAGATCAACCACGTGGTCGCATCCCTCGGCGACATCAGCAAGTTTGCTGGAGCGTTGACAGTCAACAATCAGCTGCAGACGCTCAACGACCGCGTTCAGCAACGACCGGCCACCGTCGCCAAGGAATGGAAGATGTCGAACTTCAAGATCGAGAAGTTCGATGACTATCACAAGACTGATCCGCTGCAATGGTGGATGGCTTTCAACGTGGAGGTGGATGTACATCACACTCCAGAACTACGGCGGCTTGACGCACTCTACCTCCAACTCATCGGAGGGGCGCAGACTTTCATGACCCACATGGTCGTCACGTTGGAATGCACCATCGCTACCCTCCACACCAAGATTACGTGGGAGGAATTCGAGAAGCAATGAAAGACCCGGTTCATGGTCAACAACGACAAGCGTCACGACTTGAACAAGATCTTCCGCATGTTTCAAGGCCAGCAACCTTCACGGGAGTGGCTGACGGAGTTGCAAAGACTCGTCCCCACCCCGGAGTTGAACTTACCGTTCGACGCAATCCGGGCCGAATTCTTCGCTCGGTCATGCGACGCCTTGACAGCTGCTCTCGGCAGCGAATTCCAGTATGAGGCCTTCGATGACATGATCTCAAAGGCAAGAGAACTAATCCAAGGTAACCGGTGCGCGGCCAACGAGGCCCGCCAACAGCCCGGTTATGTGGAGAAAGGCAAAGGTCAACGGACGCCGCAAGTAGGAGCAGTCCAATAGGGACCTAGTGAGGACCACGCAGCCGCGTCTACATCAAGTGACGGAGATGTGGCGGCAGCGATACCACCGCAACGCTCAAGACCCCGAGGAGCATGACAGTCACCATGGACGAAGTTCGGTATTACCGAAGACATGTTCAAGTTGAGACATAAATGGGGATGCTGTTTGTGGTGCAACAACACCAAACACGTCACGAGCGCCTCCCTCGACAAGGACAAGGAAAATGTCAAACGTCCGGACTCGGGAAACTGAGCACCGCGGGAAGTGCAGCGACAACACTTCCCAGTCCGCCAGACTCGGCTGCCTTGCTAGCAATCTCTCTCACGTCCGGGAACACCGCAGTAGTCACAAGTTCTCGTATTGATTTTGAGAACTATGCTGTCGAGCTGGTCCCACCGTTGAACCAGCCTCTCCACGTGCAAGATTCAAGCACATGCGAGGTAGTTCCGCCGTCGGCCAACGAACCGGTTGCTTCGACAGCCCTTCTATCGGAGGATCTGTCAACTTGGGCGAGTCTTGAGGAACTCGACCCGCTGACGGTTGAGGACTTCCAATGGTTGCCTCTTCCCTCCACCGGTTTTTTGTCAACACTGCATTGCAACGCCTTAATGGCACATTTGCGCAGTCCTTGCGTGAGTACCTTCTCAGGCAATCTAAGTACTTGCACGCTGCAGTACCACCTCCATCAACGGACGACGGAGTAGCGGTTGGCAATCTTTGTAACTATCTAGCGAAGATCGACCGCGAGTACGCAGCGCAACGGTACATCGACATCGACGCACCGCTCCTCTACATCCGCATTCAGATTGCAAAGGCGACCTGCAGTGCCTTAATCAATTGTGGAGCGACTCGCAACTACATCAGCCAAGACTTAATGGAGCGCGCCGGGCTAGGCCCGCGCGTTCGAAGGAAAAGTCAGCCTACGCACGTCGCGATGGCCGATGGTCACACGCAAAAGTCAATCGACCGTTGCATTGACTTCGTGCCCGTGTACTTTGCCCCGCTAGCATGTGAGGCCGTGTCATTCGACATATTGGACACTAAGTTCGATACGATCTTAGGCATGTCGTGGCTGCAAAGCAAAGACCATCCGGTGAACTTCTATAGATGCATCGTTCACATTCGTGATCGGCGTGGCGAACTAGTCCTGTGTACGGTGCCGCTTCCTCATCCTTCGATTGGTTGTCACGTGGTCTCCGCGGCGAGCATTCTCCAATCCATCCGGCGGAATGACATCGAGGAGATGGGCATATGTTTTCTTCACGCCCTCCCACCCGGTGATCAGCCCAAGACGGATACGTCGGACCCACGTATCATTGAGCTGTTGCACAGCTATGAGGATGTCTTCCAAGCTCCCGCCGGAGTAGTACCGGATCGGCCCATACACCACGGGATCACTCTCGAGGACGGCGCCGTACCTCCGCGTGGATGTATCTACCGCATGAGCGAAGAGGAGCTTCAAGTGCTTCGGGCACAACTAGATGACCTCTTGGCCAAGGGCTGGATTCGCCCTAGCTGTTCGCCATACGGTGCTCCCGTTCTCTTCGTCCGGAAGAAGAACAAGGACCTTCGTTTGTGCATCGACTATCGGAAACTTAACGCGCAAACGATCAAGAACGTCGGCCCTCTCCCTCGGATCGATGATCTTCTCGAGGGACTAGGCTGCGCCAAGTACTTCTCAAAGCTTGACCTCAAATCCGGCTACCAACAGATCGAGATCCAGCCAAGAGATAGGTACAAGACCGCGTTCAAGACGCGATATGGACACTTTGAGTGGATCGCCATGCCTTTCGGTCTCACCAATGCCCCGACTACTTTCCAAGCGGCTATGACGACGGAATTCCACGACTTGCTCGACCGCACCGTACTCATTTACCTTGATGATATCTTGGTTTATAGTCGGACACTGGACGAGCACCTCGAGCACCTCCGCGCCGTTTTGGAGCAGCTCCGTATCGCCAAGTACAAGGCGAAACGCGACAAGTGCGAGTTTGCCCAGCAAGAGTTGGAGTACTTAGGCCACTACGTTACGCCGCAAGGCATTCGTCCGCTTGCGGATAAAGTACAAGCCATTCAAGATTGGCCGGACCTCAAGTGTACCACCGACGTCCGCTCCTTTCTTGGCTTAGCATCATACTACATGCGCTTCGTCAAAGGTTTTCAACGGATCGCTGCACCATTGTCGCGATTTCAGTCCCCCTTGGTGCCCTTCGAGTTCAATGACGAAGCCCGGCACGCGTTCCATACGCTGAAGACGGCCTTGCTCCAAGCTCCCGTTTTAAGCATCTATGACCCAACCTTGCCTACCAAAGTGACTACGGACGCTTCCGGCTATGGCATTGGCACGGTTTTGGAACAGCATGACGGCACAGACTAGCATCCGGTTGAGTACTTCAGCCAAAAGGTGCCACCCATCAACACTCTTGATGATGCGAGGAAGAAGGAACTCCTAGCTTTCGTCACCGTACTTAAGCGTTGGCGTCACTTCCTCCTCGGGCGTCGGTGATTCACGTGGGCAACGGACAACAATCCGTTAACTTATTACAAGACGCAAGACACGGTGAGCAACACGATCGGTCGATGGATGTACTTTATTGACCAGTTCGACTTCACCTCCAAGCACATCCCGGGCTCCTCGAACAAGGCAAAGGATGCTCTCTCGCGAAGACCCGATCTTTGCGCCTCGGTGCATTCCACATTCGGCTTCGACGAGGACCTGCGACAACATTTCGTAAACGACTACAAGTCAGATCCGGGATTCTCCCCACTCTATGCGGACTTATCATCGGATCAACCCCGACAAGCAATTACCGCATTGTCGACGACTACTTGCTTCTCTATACACGAGTCAAGGACTTGTTGTGTGTTCCCCAAGACCGCATCTTGCGCACTCGCCTCCTTCGCGAATACCACGATTCGCGACTGGCGTCGCACGCACACTTGCACGACTCCGCCAGCGATTTCACTGGCCGGACATCATCAGCGACGTCAACCGGTACATTCAGTCATGTGCAGTTTGCCGCCGAAACAAAGAGCGCCATCAGCTCCCGTACGGCGAACTGAAACCATTGTCGATTCCTCGGGAACCAGGTCTCTCCATTGCTATGGATGTGAATGGTCTTTCCCTCGCGATCGCCTTCGCCATGATGGTATCATCACGGTCGTTGACCGTTTGAGCAAGTACGCTCGATTTCTTCCATACAAGTATCATGCGACGGCCCCCGAGCTCGCACGACTTTTGCATACTAGCTGGTTTTGCAGCCACGGCGTTCCGGAAGACATCGTGAGCGACCGCGACACTCGTTTCATGTCAGCCTTTTGGACGACACTCATGGTGGAATCTGGCACCAGCATGAAACCGAGTTCTGCACGGCATCCTCAAACGGATGGGCAACAGAACGTGCGCACCAGACTGCGCAGATGATGCTCCGCACACTCATTCGCCCGGATCAGAAGGACTGGGTTGACCGACTTCCCGACATCGAGTTCGCCTACAACACTTCGGTGCACCCCGCGATTGGCGTGACTCCATTCGAGTTGCATCACGGTGGACGGAAAGGACGTATCTTCGCAGACATTTTGCTTCCACGGGCTGCCGATATTGACGCCGCTTGCTCCCCCGCTTCTACACAGAAGTACAGGGAACTGCTGGCCAAAGCCCGCGCAAATGCAAAAGGTTCAGGTCTTTTGCAGCAGCAAGCGAACCGGCGTTGCATCCCATGTCCAATACGCGCTGGCGACATAGTTTGGGTCACCTCCGAGGAACGCTCGAGCAGCACGTCTCGCGCAAGCTCCTCCCTAAGTGGTTCGGACCATGGAAGGTCACTTCAGCAGCTGCCGACGACCCCACGGGTCCATCTTTCATCATTGAGATTCCCCCGCATTTGACGGTTCACCCGGTATTTCACACTTTACAGCTGGCGGTCTACACTCCAGCCTCCGCAGCGGACTTCCCGGGCAGACGGTCACACGACCCTCCTTCAATGGATGGTCACCAGGAGGTTGACTGCGTTCTCACGCATCGCAAGCATGGCAACAAGCCAATGCAGTACGAAGTTACATTTAAGCAATGTGATCCTGACGACACACACTGGATTTTACGAGCTGACCTGAAGGCGACAGCACCCCTCATCTTCGCGCGTTACGAAAACAGCGACTTGCTAAGGAAGCTGCCCAACCTGCCCACCCCGTACGGACATCGGACAGACAGCTTCGCCCTCGCAGTTAGCTCGGTCTTCAAGGGGGCGAGTGTGTGGCATTCTGAGCCACACGGGCCCCAGTTAGGGCCCGGTTCCAGGTAGGCAGGGTAGGCCTAAGCGGACGACGGTTCAGATGAGGCCCAGGTAGGCCAGGGGCACGGCGTTTCGGACAGGCCAGGGGTAGAGGCCCAGGCCAACGCCACAAGGCTGGTACCGGTCCAGCATAGGACCTACCGGCGGCGCAGTTCAGAGGCTGCCGCGTTTAGGCGCCAAGTCCAGTTCGGATCTGGACCGTTGATCAGATCAACGGTCCAGGCCGGTAGGTACCAGCAGGTAGGAGGCCGGCCCAGCACTACAAAAGGCTGGGTACCAGCCTCAGTAGGGAGGTTAGAAGTTAGTGAGGTTGGTGTTAGTCTTCAGGATTAGCGCAGCCTTGCAGCGTTAGTGAGATTAGCGCAGCGCAGCAGCATTAGCGCGAGCAGCGAGGAGAAGACGAGCGCAGCGGCGAGAAGGAACAGCGCAGCGGCCCTGCCGCGCCATAGCTACCGGATCAGGTACCGGGGAGGAAGGCTTTGCCTTCTCTCCCTCTGTCCCTCC